GCAGGGCCACCTGTCACGTTGTTCACCAGGCTTCTGATGCCCGTCTTCCCAGTCCTGGGAAGCCAAGTTTCCCTGCTCACCAGCGTGAGCTCTGGACACCTTTCCTAGCCCCTTGGCGCACATTTCCCCTGCCCGGCCAGGCTGTGTGGGAAATGAACCCCATTTCCTTTATCCATTTCCATCTTGGGCAGAGCTCCATGTAGAGTCACTGTGTCCCCCAAAGACGAGCTGGAGCCCTCACCCCTGGACTTGCCAGAGTGATCTCACCTAGGGGGATGCTCTTGCCTTCGGGTTTGGGGGACAGGTGCCCAGGCCCTGCTGTCCGACTGCTGGGGGCTGATCTGGGCTTTGAGAGGGTACTAGGGCCATGGCTCCAGGCAGCCGTGAGCCTGTGTGGACATGCAGGGACGTTTTGGTCAGCAACAGGTAAACAGAGTCAGCCAGAGCTCTGGGTGGGGGGAACACGGGGGTCTGATTTATACATTTGAAAAGTTCCCATAAGGGCCTTGAGGAGGTGGGAGCTGAGAAGGGGCAGTGAGGTGACTAGTCCCATCAACCTAGGACTGGCCCCAAGGCCAGGTGGTGGGAGGGACGAGGTTGCATTGTGACCCTGTGGTGCTGGTCATGTAGGCCTGCAGGGGCCGCTCCCCTCCACAGCTTCTCCTGCCAGGGCTGGGCTTACTTGTGGAAACTGGGTCCACCTTTGTCTCCTCCATCAGACTAGCATCTCTTCAAGGGTCAGGCCTGGGTCCGACCCATCTGAGGAACCCCAGGCTCCTAGTAAGCATTGGGTGAATGAATGCTGGAGCCCATGAAGGGATCAGGGAGCCCTCACGGAAGAGTCAGCCTTTGGAGGCTGGAGGGGTTCTATCCGTGGATGGAGGGAGCAGCATGAGCCAAGGCCTGGGGCCAGAGCTACAGGTTCAGAGAAACCCAGGCTAGAGGTCTGAGTGAGGAGTGAGGAACATAGTAAGGCTTGTTTCACCCCAGGGAAGTGGAGGACCAGAGAGATGGACCAAGAGGCTCACTCAGCCTGGGTGGGAGCTGCGGGCAGCACTGCCTGTCTCCTGCATTAGAAATGGGATCGTCACAGGCATGTTGATCCCATGTTGATCCCACTGCTGATTTTTTTTGCAAGAGGGGAGAGCAGTGGTAGGTGGCAGGTATTCCCACCCTGCCAGGGTGCAACATGTAACATCCTGAATGTCCACACTGCCCCATGTGCCAGAGCCTCTGTTGGCCCCATATTCCCCATAAGGAAACTGAGGCCCAGAGAGGTTAAAGGATGCTTCCAAGTCACACAGTAATGTGAGTGTCAGGATTCGAATCCAGGTCTGAATCCAAGTCCCAACCGAGGGCCTATGCAGGACAAACAGCACATCTGGGCCTGTGTAAGTGGCTCCTAGGAGTCCTGGTGGCGCAGTGATGAAACACTTGGCTGTTAACTAGAACGTCAGTGGTTCGAACTACCAGCTACCCTGTAGGAGAAAGATGTGGCAGTCAGCTTTTGTAAAGATTTGCAGCATTGGAAACCTTTTTGGGTCTCTGCAAGTTAAACTAACTTGACGGCAACGGGTTGGGTTTGGTTTAAGTGGCTTCTAGATGCAAAGACTAGTTATCTGCCAGATCAGAAGTCTCCCAGGGCAGAGGCTGTGTCAGGATCAGCTCTGGCACCCCCAAACGTGTCGTGACAAATTGAACAGTGAGGGCAGTGGTGGGCATGGGGGGTAGGGGGAGCAAGAGGAGGAAGCTGGGGCCGGGCTGGGGCTTCACGGTGGCTTCATATCTTGGCTGGGGGCTGATGAGATGTGCTCGCTGTGGCCATCTGCCTGCCCCTCTTCTCTGTGGCCAGAGTCATCCGCTATGTGGTGGTGCTGCTGGTGGGCACCAAAGGAACAGTGACTTGGGTTCGAATCCTGTCTCAGCCGCACACCAGCTCATGACTGGGACTCCCTGAGCGTCAGTATGCTCAGTCAAGTGGGAACGAAAACCGTCTGCCCCGTGGCGCTGTCGAAGGAATTCTGCAGGTCCTCGCACAGAGTGCTGGGCCTGGTGGCAGTGGCCGTGACCATCACCTCCATTCCCTGGGCCTCTTCTCCCCAGCAGGGGCATGGACTGCCATATTTGATGATAAAACAGTATCTCCTCGAACTTGAGGGTACTTGTGGTACTGCAGCTCCAAGCCACGTGTGGGAAAGGGCAGGGATCTCCATGTGGCCCTAGAAGCCGCCACACAAACTAGGAGTGAGGATGGGACATGGGTGCGGCCTGATTCAGGTCCCTACAGGCCCTGAGCTGGATCACTGCCCTCAGACTCCCCCACCTGTGAATGGGGATGGGTGGGGTGGAGTGGGGACGGACGGTGGCCTGGCCCCGCGGGCTGATTGACTATGACTGTGTTCTCCCCCCCAGAGACTGATGGAGAGGCAGAAACGGAAGGCGGACATCGAGAAGGGGCTGCAGTTCATTCAGTAAGTGTGCCGGCTGCCGGCGGGCGGGTGGGCGGGCCGGCGGCTGCATGCTCACTCCCACTCTCCTCTCTCTCATTGCTCAGGCTTTGCTGTCAGGCTTCTGTGTTTGGGGGAAGTCAGGGTGGCATGAGTTAAGGAGGGACCGGTGTGGCAGGGGCCAGGGTGTGGATCTAGCCATGAGCCATGAACCACACTCCCATTGTCCCCTCCCCCTCCACCTGTGCATGGATACCCCCTGCTTATTGCTGTCCTTGTCTGGACTCACCGTATAATAAATAAATCAGTACCAGCTACCAGTTACCATCAAGTAGATTATAACTCACAGGCAGTCCGCGTGTGTCACAGAAGAACTGTGCCCCATAGGGTTTTCAATGGCTGATTCTTAACAAGTCAGTCAACAAGCCTCTCTTCTGAGGCCCCCCTGAGTGGACTCAAACTGCTGATCTTTCAATTACCAGCATGTTAACCATTTCACCACCCAAGGACTCTATAAGAAGTCAATGAAACCCATCACCATTGAGTCATTATCAACTATGGCCACCCTGTGGGACAGAGTAGAACTCCCCATAGGGCTTCCTGGGCTGTAATCCTTATGGAAGCAGACTGCCTCGTTTTTCTCCCACAGAGCATCTGGCCAGCCTTTTAGTTGTCAGCTGAGCACTTAACCACTGTGCCACCAAGGCCCCTCTAATGGTCCCTGTTTACTGAACACTTACTGTCTGTCAGGCACCATGCCAGGACCTTCCTGTCCGTCATCTTATTTTTTTTTTAAATGTAATGTATTTCCTTTTTTAGAAGTTTTAGATTTACTCCATCATTTTGATTTTTTTAAATCTTCACGACAGCTTGGTGACATAGGTGGTCTTCTCTCCACTTTGCAGATGGGAAAATGGAGGCTCAGAGAGGTTAAGAAATGTGTCAAGGTCACGCAGCTGTTGAGCAACAGGATTCAAACCCAGATCTGTCCGACTCCAAAACCCTTGTTTCTTTCCATTGCAGGCCTCCCACCCAGCACCCGTAGGCCATTCTGTTAGTTTTTCCATTTTTTTCTTTACACACAGGATGTCTTTCACTTGACTCCCTGCCATTGAGTTAATCCTGACTCATAGTGACCCTCATTGGGTTTCCAAGGCTGTAAATCTTTACAGCAACAGACTGCCTCATATTTCTGCTGAGGAGCAGCTGGTGGGTTTGAACCTCTGACCTTTGGTTAGCAGCCAAATGCCTTAACCACTGTGCCACCAGAGCTCCTTGCAGGATGATCTTATTACCTTTTATTTCTTAAGTCGACCCTTGGAGACATATTTATCAAGATGCTAACGAAGGGAACTGTAAGCTTCAGGGCCCCTCACTTGCGTGACTCCTTTTCAAGACCCTGGGAGGCACTCTAGAAATTCTATATTCATGGTTTTGTATTCTATTTCTTAAATAGAGCTTCCAAAAAAAACCTAAAATTTGCCTCTCTGTTCCATTTAGACATATGCACTCTCCAATTTCATTCTCTACACAGACCCGGCAAACGCTCCTCGACTTTCCTCATCCACATGTCATCACCCCAAACTAGATTCCTTTTCACACACCCTCAGGATCTGCATTGCTCTCCCAAAGTGTGTTTGCATTCACAGGACTTCCTCAACTCACAGTTGGGTGAGGGCTGCTGGCAACCCCCTCAGGGTGCTCACAGCTGGGCTAATTCTGGGAGGGAGTTTTGAGAGCACCTGGAACCTTGCCTCATGGCTCTTGGTCTGTCTCCCCTGACCCCAGGCTGCTCTCGCCCAGCAAGTTCTCCAGTCTTCAGCCGTGGTCAGTAGCACGGTGGCCCACTCTTTGCATTTCCTTGCCAGTGACAAGTGTTTTTCCATCTGCAGGGGAGGAGCATGTATTGGTTTTTGGGAAGTGCCCAAATTTCATTCAGAGACCAGTTGGGTAGACAGCCGCCCATGTTTTTTTGTAAGAATTCTGTGTCTTTAACTTAAGTCACCCACCACTCTTCTGTCAGTTTGTCATACCGTAGTGGCTTGCTCTTGAAAGGAGAGTAGCTAAAGTGAATGGAAGAAATACTGGAGTGGAAGAGCTCAACAGAAGATTTCAAATGGCAGCTTAAGAAGACAAAGTATTATAATGAGATGTGCAAAATCAAAAGGGAAGAACACACTTGGCATTTGTCAAGCTGAAAGAACTGAATAAAAAATTTAAGCCTTGAGTTGCACTATTGAAGGATTCTACGGGCAATGAGGAGCTCTGGTAGCATAGTGCCTAAGGCATTTGACTGCTAACCAGAAGGCTGGTGGTTCAAAACCACCAGCCACTTCTCAGAAGGAAGACTGGGTGATCTACTTCCGTAGAGATATGGCCTTGGAAACCCAAGGAGGGGTCGCCATGACTCGGAATCGACTTGCTGCAGGAAATGGTTTCTAATGCCCATCAAGCTGTGAGTCAGATCCAACTCGATGGCAGTGAGTTAGGTTTTTATGGGCAAAATATTCAATGATGCAGGAAACATCAGAGAAAGATGAAAGGAATACACAGAATCACTATACTAAAAAGAATTGGCTGATGTTCAGCCAATTCATGAGGTAGTGTATAACCAAGAACCAATGGTATTGAAGGAAGAGTCCAAACAGCACTGAAGGAATTGGCAAAAAACAAGGCTGTAGGAGTTGATGAAATACCCATTGAGATTTTTCCACAAATGGAGGCAAATGGAGTCTTACTGATAAATGAAATCAAGAATTCCAAGAAATTTGGAAGACAGCTACCAGGACAGCTAACTGACTGAAAGAGATCCATGTTTGTGCCTAATCCAAAGAAACGTGCCCCAACAGAATGTGGAAGTTATTGAACAATATCATTAATAACACACACAAGTAAAATTTTGCTGAAAATCATTCAAAACTGGTTGTAGCAGTACCTAGACAGGGAAGTGTCAGAAATTCAAGCAGTATTTAGGCTTTGCAGTAGCCTCAGATGCATGTGAAAGCTTGACAATGAATAAGAAGACTGAAGAAGAATTGGTGCACTTGCATTATGGTGTTGGTGAAGAACATTGAATATACCATGGTCTGCCAGAAGAATGAACACGTCTGCCTTGGAAGAAGTGCACCTGGAATGCTCCTTAGAAGCAAGAGTGGCCAGACTTTATCTCTCACTTTGGTCATGTTGTCAGGAGGGAGAAGGCTATCATTCTTGGTGTGGTAGTTATGTTTGTATGTCAACTCCGCTGGGCCTGGGTCAGTGGCTGGGCAGCTGGTGGTAGTTATTCCCCATGATGAGACTGGCAATCAATGCCATGGTGGTATCTACCAGGAGCAGCTGAGTAGCTGCCTTTGGGATATGGTCTGCTTCCTGTATGTAAGCAGCAGCTTTGGGAATAGTCTCTAGCATATGGCATGTTTGGACCCTGTGTGTAGCCGTGTTGTTGTTCAGCAGCCTGCCATGCTCTGCCGATCTTGGGACTTACAATGGGCTTAAATTAATGGCCTGCCATGTGATTTGGTAACATTGGGACTGTGCATTTTTACTTGTTGACCTTGGGCTTGGCAGCCTCAGCAGCCAGCAGCTGTCTGAGTGAAGAGAAGCCTCTAGCTCCAGTGGGCCGGGAGCTGGAAGCAGAGCTGAAGCCCACGGCTGAGGGGCTTTCACCCAGCCCCTAGAGCCTGGCACTTTGGATTCGGACTTAACGCCTCCAGACTGTAAGAATAAGCTCCTGTTTGTTAAGGCCATCCCATTGGTGGTATATTCCTGTCAGAGCGGCACTAGGGAACCAGAACACTTGGTAAAGTACAGGGCCAGCGAAGAAGAAGAGGACCCTCAACGAGACGGACTGACTCAGTGGCTGCGACGATGGGCTCAAACACAGCAACGACTGTGAGGAGGGCGCAGACCAGGCAGGGTTTCTTCCGTTGTCCACGGGGTTGTTGTAAGTCAAAAGTGACTCAATGGAATCTAACAACTTAACTCACGGATTTCTGTGGAGCTGGACCTTGGAACGCTGCTGGTCTGCATCTGTATCCTGATTTTCCCGTTTCCTGGATGATGTCCTTCCCTGTAAGTTGGGAAAAAATGCCACCGCCCTCACCGGGTCCTTGTGAGGACTTGAGGGGCCTGGGCAGGCTGGGCCCGGTGGTGCTCAGTCAGCGATAACCTTGTGTTCTCCTTCCACGTTCCCCAGTGGAGTTCTGAGAAGGTCTTGAAACAGGGCAGCGTCTTGGGAACCCGTATGTGGGCCTCCTTAGGATCCACTTTATGGGATACAGTGGGACCTGCTCCTGTTTTTTTTTTTTTTTAGCATTGACTATTATTGACATATAGTGAAACGCACAGATCTTAAGTGTTATAATTTATGACTTTTTAAAATTTAATATTTTTAAAAATAATATTTTATTGTGCTTAAGGTGAATGTTTATACAGAAAATTAGGTTTCCATTGAACAATTTCTACACAAATTATTCAGTGATATTGGTTATATTTGTCACAATGTGTCATCATTCTCATTCATTCCATTCTGGTTGTACCATTTCTAGCACTCTAGTTGCCCTGATTCCTTACCTTCTCATCTCATCTGTGCTTTAATTTTTGACCATTTGGTATCCTATAGATGATTTTTTTTTTTTAAATTGTGATTTGGATGAAAGTTCACAGAGCAAATTCACTTTCCAAACAGCAGTTCACATATACTTTGTCTCATGGCATTGCCTACAGTTTCCCACAATGCAACAGCATCCCTGCCACTTCCTCCCAACAGTTACCTCTTCCCTGTGTCCTTCCCTCCCATGCACTCCTGCCCCCTGAACTGTCTCCTTGTGCATACACAGCCCTTCTGTTCTCCCATGATTGTTCTCTCCAAGGAGTGTATCTACCTAATGTAAATGTTCAGCTCATATGCCTGTCTTTTGTTTGGCTGGAAACCACAGGTGTGGGTTCAATTCCAGACCTGAAGGGGAGCTAGGGGCCATAGTCTCAGGGGTTCCATTAGGCTCTAACTATAGATGATTCTTTTGTAGTTAGATAGATGGATAGATGGATGATCCTTAAAGAAGCACATCACTCACAGGTGTATTCTTTAGTTTATGAGGCAGTGTATTATCTAGCTAAAAGATGACCTCAAGGGATAATTTTGGTTTAAGGTTTAAAGCATATCTCAGGGCAGTAGTCTTGGAAAGTCTAATCTCAACTGGTCCAATAAGTCTGGACTTTTTAAAACTGTGAGCTCTGTTCCACATTTCTCTCCTGGTCTATAAGGACCCATCTATTGTGGACTGATCAGCACAGTAGTGGCAGTGGTAGCTGGGCACCATCTAGTTCTTCTGGTCTCAGGGTAGATGAGGAGTTGGTGATTATTTATTTATTTATTCCCAATGCTCCTTTTTACAGGTGTACACCTTCTTTATTTATTTTAAATCTTTAATTGTGATTTAGGTGAAAGTTTACAGAGGAAGTTAGTTTCTCATTTAGCAATTTATAGATTGTTCCGTGATATTGGTTGCAACCCCCACAACATGTCAGCACTCTCCCCATTTCCATCTTGGGTTCCCTATTCCATTTGTCCATTTCCTGCACCTTCCTGCATTTCTAATTTTGCTTTTGGGCAAATGCTGCCCTCTTGGTCTCATAGAGTTGATTGAGGTGTACAATTTATAGCAGTTACAGTAACCAGCTGCACAGCCCTGCCCTTAATCAACTTGATATTAACCTCTCTTTACCCCTTCTTCTCCCTGGTAACTGCTAATTAACATGTAATAAACTGATCTCTATACATTTGCCATTTCTTGTCTTTTTATATAAGTGAATTCATACAGTATTTGTCCTTTTGTGATTGACTTATTGCACTCAGCACAATGTCTTCCAGCCCCATCCATACTGTAGTGTGTATCAAGACTTCATTTCTCCCGGCTAAGTAGTATTCCATTATATGTAGGTACCACATTTTGTTAGTGCTGCAGCGAACATTGGTGTCCAAGCTTCTGTTTGAAACTCTGCTTTCAACTCTTTTGGGTACATACCTGAGAGTGGAATTACTAGGTCAGATGGTAGTTCTATTTTTAGCGTCTTGAGGAGCTGGGTTTTCTACAATGACTGTACCATTTTGCATTCCCACCAGCAATGGATTTCCCCATGTCCTCGCCAACATTTGTTGTTTTCTTTTTTTTTTTTTTTTTGTATCTTAGCTATCCTGGTGGGAGTGAAATGGTTTCACATTGTGGTTTTGATTTGGATCTCTGATGGCTAATGATACTGAACATCTTTTCACGTGTTTGGTGGCCATTTGAATGTCCACTTTGGTGAAATGTGAAGTCCTTTGCTCATTGTGCCATTGGGTTATGGACCTGCTCCTTTTACGGTCAGTCTTGCTATTTTTGCCTCATCCCCCTGCACTGGATTCTCATGTATGTACTCAGTGAGTTTAGGAAAAACATCTATGAGGTACTTCCTGGGCACAGAGCATTGTGGGAGTCATAAGGAAGTGTTGCACACAACCTCTCCTTGAAGGAGCTGAAGATCCAGTTGGGCAACAAGAGATTCGGAGCTAAAAGCAGGGAGAAGCTCTCAGGCTTTGGGGGATCAAGCCAGCCTGAGGTCAGCTTCCAACTCCACCACCTGAGGCCTTGGTTTCCTCATCTCTAAAATGGGGTGATAAGCCAAAGTTCTGATGAGTGGTGGGTGACCCATCATTTCTTGGGCTGGACATTCTGGGAAGGCTGCCTGGGGGAGGAGTGACTTCAGCTGGATCTAGAAATAGGCAGGGTCTGGTCGGTTGGAGGCAGGGATTGGGACAGGCCAGTCTATGAGCAGGAAAGGGAACACTCCAGTGAGAGGGAGCTGGGGACAGCACCTGGAGCAGCTGAGCGGGGGGCACAGGTCAGTCAGCTCACCCTTATTTCTTGGGTACCTCTGCCATGTTAGGCAGGGGTCAGGGATGACGCGTTTGGACAAATGGGTTAGTGCTGGTTTGTGGAGGGCCTTGAACACCAGGCTAAGATGTTTGGGCTTCATCCTGAGGTGCTGGGCCGTCACAAGCTTTGGGGACACGAATGTGACCTACGGGAGATGAAGCTGACCCTGGAAGGAGAGAGGCTGGAGCAGCAAGGCCAGTTAGGGGCGTGGCGCTGGGGGCCAGCGTGGCAGCCTGGGGAGGCAGGACTGGGTCCCGATCTCTGGCTGGTGGGGAGGCCAGTGTGAAGGTGGGATGGAGCCCACTGTCGGAGCCAGGGACACCCCCTCACCCCCATACGGGGGCCCTCAGCATCTCCTCTCACCACACCTCACTAGCGTAGGCTGCTCTTTCTTGCCCAGGTGTTGGCAGCAGCTCCGGGCACTGGATAGAGCCTGGACTCTGGCCCTGGCTCTGACACTGACCTGCTGTGTGACCTCGGGCAAGTCACTGCCCCTCTCTGAGTGTCTGTTTTCTGCTCTGGGAAATTAGGGACCAGGAGACAACCCTTGGCTCCCCTCCCACCTGGTCCACTTAGCCTGAAGGAGGTACCTCAGCTCTGTGCCTGATGCTTCCTTCCATCCTGATTGGTGTGGTTCAGCCACAGGAGAGGGTGTCAGGCCCACCTAACCTGCTGGGTCTGGCGTGAGGGTTTATGGCTCTGAGTGTACCTGGCTTTGGCCAGGGGTGAACGAATGACTGTGGAGGGAAAGGCTGAGACTCCTAGACTAAGGGGCCTGAGGGCTCCCGTGCCTCCCATGGGCCTGCAGTTGGAGATTTTAGGGGTGGACGGGAGCAGTGGTCGAGCCTTAAGCCCAGTTTAGATGTTTCTTTCTCGACAAAGCTCACACTTTGTGCCTTTCTCCCGCCGTCTGTCCCCACCTCCCCTGGCACCGGAGCCGGGAGCCACGCAGAGCCAGCGACTTCCTGGCGTTGAGCTGGGCGGAGCTTCCGTCACTCTTCACTTGACCAGAGCCTCCTTGTCCTCTCCTTGCCTTTTGTAGCCCCTGCCCCTGCCCTGCACCCCCTCCTATAACAGAGCGCACTGGGGGTGCCTGTCTCCTTCTCAGTGGGTATTGGGTTTGTGCCAGAGGACAGCGGCCAAGCTGAGCTGGTCTGCTCCTTCCCAGCCCCCAGTCCTAGGGAGAGTCTGGCAGGCCATGGCAGGCTCCTCCAGCCGTCCTGTTGTGAATGGAAGGCTTACATGGTGTTGATTTACTGGGGGCGGGGGGCCTTGCTTGTCGCCTTACCCCAGCTCCCGTGGTGATGTCTGAGGCCGGAGTCGGGGGCCCCTCCTAGCCTGACATCTGGCTCTGGGGCCTCCACGAGGCTGAGGGAGGAGGCTGGGACCCCTGAGCTCCCCCAGACCTGTGTCCCTGTGCTTTTCCTGCCAGGTCGACACTACCCCTGAAGCAAGAAGAATATGAGGTGAGTGACGTCCACTGGGCTGGGGAAGGCGACGGGAGGGCGAGAGGGCAGTGGGGCCGGCGCCAGGTGAGCCGCCCGGTGTCCTGCCCCTGCCAGGCCTTTCTACTCAAGCTGGTGCAGAACCTGTTTGCCGAGGGCAATGACCTGTTCCGAGAAAAAGACTACAAGCAGGCCCTGGTGCAGTACATGGAGGGGCTGAACGTGGCCGACTATGCCGCCTCTGACCAGGTGGCCCTGCCCCGCGAGCTGCTGTGCAGGCTGCATGTCAACAGGGCTGCCTGCTACTTCACCATGGTGAGTGAGCCCTGCATCCTGTGGCTGCCCCCTGCCCCAGGGGCTCTCTCCCCACTACTCCCGGTGTCCCCCACCCACACACAGCACACTCCCCTGGAGAGCTTTTCAAAAGTGCTGATGTAGAATAGAGTTTCACAGGGGACGCCGATGGCTCCGCCCTCCCCAGGTGAATTAAGTCAGCGTCCCGGCTGGGCCCTGGCATTAGGCAGTAGAGGCTGAGGACTGTTCCCCTTCCTGCAAGCGAGACTGCATCTCCCTCCTGGCTACCTCAGGACCCTCACTCTCCTCGCTTGTTCTCTCCAGACGTCCAGCCTCCTCATACACTCCTTCCCTGTCCCACTCACCCAGTGCAAAAACGGCATGGGGGCCACATGTTCTGACCTCCTCTAATCCCACAAGAGGAAGACAGGGTTACCAGCAGTAACCCAAGGCCTATTCCTGCCAGGCCAGACATGCTGCCTCCCTCCAGCCCTTTCTCCAACCGTTCCTCCCAGAGCACCCACCACCTCCCTCCTGGGTTCGATAATTTGCTGCAGTGGCCACACAGAACTCACGGATTATGGGGGTTTATTAGGGAAGCACCAGGCTACAACTCAAGTTCAGGAAGAATGCTCAGTCTCTCTCCCAGCCCACCGTCCCTCAGCCAACAGTCTCTCAGTCTCCCCCAGCAGTGCGTGTCCCTCAGTGTCTCACTCAGCAATGCATGTCTCTTGCGTCTCTTTCCCAGCAGCACGTGTCTCTTTCAGGAACGCGTGTCTCTCTCAGCAGCACGTCTTCCTCAACCAGCAGTCAGAGAGAGTTCTGCCTCTAGGAGGCCTCCTTTTGAGCCCAGCAAGGTGGCCAAACTAGCCAATTATAGCATCAGAACTCTAAGCACCTGAGAGAGTGGGCACCTTCCCAGAACATTGTTTTGTGCCACGCCCAACAGAAATACTCCAGGTGGACACCTTCAGCAATCAGGAGCTCCTCACTTGCTCATAGCAAATCCCATCTTGGAGTTTACAAAGACTGATGGGTAGAAAAGCCACAGAAAGTAATTTACTGCACTGCACCCAAGGACCCAGTTATTCATCGGACCTGGGGGAGGCCCTGGTGTAGGCTCTGTAGGGTCCGGTAAACCCCCTGCCATCCAGGGTGGAATGCTCCAGGTGCCCTAGGGCTTAGCCTGCCCGCTCTGCTCTGAGCTGCCTTCATGGTTGCTCTGACTGCCATTACTCTCGGTCCATGCTGTTCTGAACCAAAGGCAGAAGTAGGTGCATCTTAGTGACCAAGCTCATCACATAGAACTGGAAGGCTGCTCTCTCCAGGACCCTGTGGCAGCCCCTTCACCCAGACACACAGATGCTCTTCACCTGGAGTCTGACCCCTGCACTGTCTCCTGCCTCCCCTCTTGGGGCTTTGAGCCTCATCCCTGACCCTAGCATCCTCTGTCTGCAGGGAAGGGAGGCTGGCGGTCCGCCCTGGGTGGGGGAGGGCACTGACTGGCGGGCTGCCTGCTTCTCTCCACAGGGCCTGTACGAGAAGGCGCTGGCGGACAGCGAGAAGGCTCTGGGCCTGGACGGGGAGAACATCCGGGCCCTGTTCCGCAAGGCGCGTGCCCTCAGTGAGCTGGGCCGCCACAAGGAGGCGTACGAGTGCAGCAGCCGGTGCTCCCTGGCCCTGCCCCACGTGAGTGCTGCCCAGGCCTCTGCTTCCATACCGCCCGGGCTCTCAGCCCTCCCTTGAGCCAAGCCACCATGCCTTTCTGCTCGCGCTCTGTGACATGGAGTCGCAGATACCGTTATCAATACTAGCTCTAAGTACATGCCCAACCCTGCCAACGTGTTATTGTGGCTCTTAACTCCCTTAATCCTACAACAACTCTGTGAGGTAGCTACTATTGTTACTATTTTAATTTTAATTTTTCTTGTGATTTGGGTGAAAATTTACAGAGCACATTCATTTTCCACACAGCAGTTCATACACATTGTGTTTCAAGATGGTGACTGCAATTCCCCGCAATGTAACAGCTCTTTTCCCACTTCCTCCCTGTGAGGTAGCTACTCTTGTTGCTTCCATTTTAAAGGTGAGGAGACTGAGGCCTAGAGAGAAAGGAACTTACCCAGGTCACAGCAGCTGGAGGTGGCAGAGCTAAGATGGGAACCCGGGCAGTCTGATTGCAGAACTGGCACCCGTACCCTCTACGCTCTGTGAGGATGGGGCTGCAGTGAGGCGTACAGGGGGTGACGGACATGCCCGGGTCCTGATGTGGATGCTGTCACTGGGTGGGGAAGGGACAAGGGGAAATGACCAATAGGGAGCCTGGCTCGTCCCCGACCTGCCCACGGCTGGGCACATGTCCCCTCTCCACTTATTCATCCACTTGATAAGAATGCCCTTGTGCCCACATCTGTACCTTCAGGGACCACAGTCCTCTGAACTAGGCCCTGGGGTCTAGGCCTGGCTCCACCGCTGAGCTTCTGTGTGACCGTGGGTGAAGCTCTTCCCCGTCTACACAGCAGCACCACATCTGTAATGCTGCTCCAGTGGGCGTGAAGGCCCCGAGAAGGAATACTTCCTCTCCGTGACGCTGCGGTCTCCCACGGTGATTCTGTTGCTATTTTTGGTTTCTATCCAGTCAGTTCCAAATCATGGTGACACCATATGTCCAGAGTAGAACTGCTCCCTAGGGTGTTCAAGGCTGTGAACCTTTCAAAAGCGGGTCCCCAGGCCTGGCTTCCAAGGCAGCTCTGTGTGGGTTTGAGCCACCCCTTTCGGCCAGAAGTTGAACACATAACCTTGTGCATTGTTGTTGTTGTTATATGCCATCGAGT